CAACATTTCCTTGTTATTATTGTAGTTAACTAAAAATTATTTACTATTTATATCACCTCTCCTCTCGTTAGGCTCGAAATTATACCTTTATAGCAAGATCTAAACAAGAATGTATTAATAAAATTTATAGGTCTTTTCCCTAAGTCCCAAATTACAATTTATATCCAAGTTATTTTTACTAATTAAGGTTATCATTTCATTATTATTATCATAGTTAATTATATGTTAACAAATGTACATTTAATAACAAGCCCTGGTACTATTTCTTATTGCTCCTCAAACAGCAACCTGGCCAAAATCCAAAGTTAGGCAAGAATCAGACTCACCTTGCAGTGACATTCTCCAGTGATCGGGTGACAGATGCTTGGCTTTGTCCCTGCTTCATGGCAGTCACAAGCCCTGCAGTTGGGGTAACCGTAATAGCCCGGGGCACAGAGATCGCACTGACGTCCTACGATGTTGGGCTTGCATCTGGAAGAACAAATGGTCAGCTTCTGTATTCTTTTGTTTATTATTACGGCTGGGTTTTAAGCCAAGCGCTAAGACGAACAGTGCAAAGGACTACTGCTGGAACAGAATAACAGGGTTGGAAGGGGCCTGGGAGGCCTTCCGGTCCAATCCCCTGTTCAAGCAGGAGACCCGATATCATTTCAGACAATTCATTATCCAATCTCTTCTTTAAAAACCTCCACTGTTGGGAGCACCCAAAACTTTGGAAGGCAAGTTAATCCAACTCCTTAGTTCTAGGTTGCTTCTCTCTTTGATCAATTTCCACCCATTGCTTCTTGTCCTGCCTTCAGGTGCTTTGGAGAAACGGTTGACACCCCCCCCCTCTTCTTTGGGGCAGCCCCTTAGACAATGGAAGACCACTAACATGTCTCCCCTAGTCTTTCTTTTCATTAAACTAGGCATACCCAGTTCCTGCAACTGTTCTTCATACAGTGTTTTAGCCTTCAATCCTCGAATCATCTTTGTGGCTCTTCTCTGCACTCTTTCTATTTTCATATCTTATTTTTTAGCTTTCTATAACCAGCTGATTGAAGACACACACCACTGAGCACAGCCACACCCGACCCAACTTCTTCTCCTGCCCCCTGCCCCGTGCTTAGTTGCATTTTGTAAGAGCCGAGGTGGCGCAGTGGTTAAATGCAGCACTGCAGGCTACTTCAGCTGACTGCAGTTCTGCAGTTCGGCTGTTCAAATCTCACCGG